GTTGCCAGACATCCAAGAAGCCACTGTGTGTGAGATGTTAACTCAAAGGAGTGCTCTTGTTTGCATTTGTATATTTTTACACTATACTCTTCATGTAAGAGGCATTGGTTCATGTGCTTGAAAGCAGCACTGTGTTATATGAATAAATCCTTCAATAAGGATGTTCATACATAGTCAACGAATGGAAAAGTAAAAGCCTCTGAATAGCTTTTTAGTTGGCTTTACAAAGAAAATAGTGCATAGATTAACATAGTAATATATTACTATATTTACATCTGGTATACATATGTATATAGCTAATGATTAATTTTATTAAAATTTTGTTATATGAGACATACATTATATGTGATATGGCAAAAAATCTGTAAGACTCTCAGTCGTGTCTATCAGACATATACATAAATCTCTTTCTTACCCTAAATTAAATTCTGAGTGACGGCAGAGAACATGCAATGAGAGAGTGGGACTACTGTAATACAGTGAAGCTTGTAAGAAGGGCTAAAATAACCCATGGCAAGTACACCTGAAAAAACAGCATGTAAAAAAAATGTTCCAATCTATATTTATAAATGTATTTTTTCATTATTGTAAGTATAAGTATTCCAACTATTACAAGAGTCTAAATCTTTCTTACTCATAACTGTATGGATCAAAACCAGCTTTGAGCTGAGAAATGTTTAAATCTTATAACAGATCATAAATTATTTCAACATATACAATATTTTGTCTTTTACACAGCAATGCAGAATTAGTGTTACACATTTTTTTCATGTAGTCATAGAATTTAAGTGGCATAAGAGATACTTTTTGGTTTAAAGTAAACTAAGATTTAAGACCCTGGAAAACTGGATTCACAGGAAAAATATTGGAATGTCCTAATCCAAGCAGTGGAAACTCTTAAGTTCACTGGCCAAGGAAAATGAGTGTTGTTTCTTCTCTTTTGATTGGTTTTGGACTAAAATAATCTAAGGTACTTCAACTGTATTCTAAGGTATTTGATTATAGTATGTGATGATTCATTTAGTATCAAGCATGACTTTTAAAAGTATTTTTCTTGGTTTTGTTTACTTTGGCAAACAAAACAACTGTACAGAGGACATATATATCTATTCTTTTAAGCATAAGAATGTATTACAATTATATTTTAAAAGCTTTTGTAAGATATGATGAAAGTATGCTCCAGAAATATTTTTTTTCCTTGCATTTCACTTTTTTAAGATGCTTAGAATTGTTACATGTAACACTTTGCTTTGGAAACATGTTCTCCTACAGAATTCAACAATATTTGTTTCTAAAATGATTAAATGCAAAGTGGTAGCTTGTGATCTTTGTCCTCTGATGAAGGGTCTGTAAGCATTCACTGTAAGTGGAAACTTTAGGAATTACAGAGTTATTTTGAAAATAATATTTAACCTCAAATATTTTCAGTCGCTCAAAAAAAGAAAAAAAAAGGAAAAAAAAGAAAAAAAAAAAGCAGCACATAGGGGTGAGATGCTGTTGCTAGATCACATCCAGGTAGCATAGTAATGGACAATAATGTTGCAGGTTAGTTCAAGTTTCAGCTACATAAATGATGCAATACACTTACATGGTGTTTTAGGGAGTAAAATTTAAATTAAAATAATGAATGCTGAGTGAAGTACTCTGTGAAACATTTCAACAGCTCAGACCCTCTTTTTCAAAAATTTGAAATAAAGAGAGAACCAAATGTAGGCCTGTGCCCACACTAAATGCATTGCTCTGAAGCTTTCATTTTCTAGTATTTAATATGAAAAGAAAGCTGTTTCCACAGAGAAATATTGGAATAGTTTCAGTATGCATGTCTAATGCAATATGTGGGTTTTTCTCCTTTTAATTATTTGCATATAATTATTTGCATGAGTATTACTTTAAAAAGCTAACTGGAATGGGCATAGTTAATACACTAAAGTTGCAGGCACTAAATAACATCTGCATCAACATAAATAACAAAAGGCTCAGCAATTCAATTTTTAGATTATTTCAGATACTAAATTAAAGTTTATCAGTATTTGTAACAGCATACTGCATCACACAGATACACCTATTGAGATCTGAACGAATGATCAGGTAAAAATGGAACTGAACAGGGCACACTTCTGTTCTAATCAAACAAAAAAATCAGAATAATATCTTATAGCATTTCACTCTAATTACTTACATTATTCATTGCATTTGATCTGTCGTATGAAACCTATTACAGTAGCAAATACCAGTGTAAAAAAAAAAAGTGAAAAAGAACAGCAAGTAAATGCAGACAGCCAAAAGAAAAAAACCCTTAAGAAAAAATTACTTGTGTTTATTATGAATATCTCCCATTTTGTTCATCAAGATTAATATTATTATTTTCTAATTATGGTGAACATTTCAGCTTTCAAATTCTTGACTTTGGTAAATGCTATAGTATTAGGGAGAAAACTCACAAAAATTTACTTTGTTCAAGAAGTGTCAGATTCTTGGATCATTAATTGATTTTGCAGGCTATGACCATGTTCCTTTGGTCAAGTATTAAGAATATCTTTTTGTTTCAGACTTACCGTAGAAGGAAGACACATTGAAAAGACTTGGTTAAATAAGTTTGTCCATATGAAGCTGATATTGTGTGCTTGATGTTTGATTCAAGTTGCTACTTATTCAGACTTCCTTGAAAATAAAATTATGTGATATAGCTTCAGCAACATTTCAAATTAAGATAAAATAATTCGGCAACTCTTCATCCAAATTAACTGCAGAAAAGCAAAGGGGTTTATGTTTTAGGATCCTAACCTTCATTCATGTTCATATCACCATCCTTAAATTGTATCGCATTTCTTTATTGTGAGGAATGCAGGTGCATATTTATGTTTTTTAAATTTTCTCTGATTGCCAGGATTTCTCCAGGAGAAGATAATTTTATACCCTTAGTTTGACTTGTCGTTAAATAGATTGCTAATACACTTATTTTTCAAAAGGGAAATCAGAATCCCAAACTGGGCAAACTGAAACCTCTGGATGGTAACTGCAAACACAGTGGTCCATGTAGAATCAGGCATATGATACTTGTCAGTGTCTTTCAAAGGTCATATTTGGATTTATATCACAATAGAAAAATGAAGTGAAATAAGATTCACATCCTCTGTGTTGGAGAAAAATAGTATTGCAATTTCTAGTGTTGATAAGAGTATATGTCCCTCTCCTTCAGCTTACTCAGCCACATTCTTGCTGATCCATATACAAGAGGAAGGTTAGTTGTAAAACATGACCAGGGAGTCAGTTAGATTAGCAGTGTCAGCACTCAAGTGTTCACAATATTTCAGAAAAATGCAGAACTAGCCCTGATGTGACTGTGGAACATGCACAGCTACATGACCATGTCAAATAGCATGGGAATATGTATCCTTCTGTTGATGCTTGTGATAAGACTTCCCACCATACACCAGCCTGAGAAAGTGTGAGGGAAGAACTGAAGATAGGTAAGCAAGAGTAAAGCCCAGCAGTAAGCATATTTCCCTTTGTAAGGAGATTTAGGTCTTTACTTTGCCAGTTGCTTTATGTGCCAGAAGACCCCAAGAATACTTTTCATATCAGGTACCACCATTAAATGTCAGTTAAATTCCAGATAAGCTTCTATTATCCTGATTTGTGTACGCTTTTCTACTGATAGGTGGATCCCATAAATTACTCTTAAAAAAATTAACAAAATTACAGTTCTATATCTTCATCAAGTATTTTTGAAAGTTACAACATTATAAAATTCTTTGATGTTGCTTGACTCCAGGAAATGGTGTAAGTACGTACTGTTTATTCTGCGTTTAGATGAGTAAAACTGGGGTTAAAAGTTTCCTTGCTTATAGCTGCTGCCACCAGATGTCACTGTGTAGATGAATAACTGACGACCCTTTTTCCCCCCCTTTCTTAGCTCTTTTTCCCATTTGATTTGATCAAGTATGATTTCCAAAAAGATGAACCAATCAGAAATAAGCATGGTTGGTGTGAAAAAGTTAAGAAAGGTAAGTATGTATTTTAATAGGATATAACAGCCTTTGATTGAAATACAAGTACTTCAGATAATTTTTTTAAGGAACCCTGTTATTGTGTTACTGTCCTCTGCCAGCATCAACTATTAGTCTTTGCTCTGACAAAAGCAATGTGATTTTGGTCTAAGATAGAACACTATTAAACATTCTACTGCTGACACCAGAAGAATTTGGGAGATCCTGGAATATATTAACAGAAGAGCAACTTTCAATAGTGATGATGTGGTATTATCTCTGAATATGTAGGTAATGACATCTCTCATTTTTAAAGGGAGTTAACATAGTGAGATGTTTGCTTCAGAGTTCTGTGAGAAAGACTGGTCAATTAAATCAGTGTTTTTTGGTGAGAAATTAAGTGTTCCTAACTAAACAAGTTGATTAAGCTTATATTTGTTTCGGGGTTTTTTAAGAGATTTTTTTGTTGTTTTCCTTGACTATAGCCTGCTCTCAAAATACCTATCAAACATCTGTTATCTCTTGATTATACTGATTTTAAAAGTGTTTATCAGATACTGAAGCATCTCTGATGTACTGTGGGAAAGTAGCTGTAATTAATGCCTGGAAGCTGAAGCAAGAAAAACTCATACTAAAGGTCAGGCAGACAGTTTTAACAGGGAGATGAAGCATATTTTTCAAAAGAATTAAGAGATTCTCTAATAGGTCTTAATCAAAGATGGACACTTTTAGGAAAATATGGTCCCCAAAACATGAATTTTTATACGAAATTATCTGTAGGGATGTCAGACTAGCCTGTGAGGGGAACACATTCTCTAATTAGACAGCTGGTCTAATTTTCCAATTATACCAATCAGCACCAATGCCCTTTATCTTCAGAGCATTGTGGCTGCAGTGACACTACCAGTGAACTAAATGCTTTCATCTTAAACACTACCAATTTATGGGAAAAAGGCACATATTCTTTTATGAGGAGGCAGTCTTAAAGTAAAAATTCTACATACCTTTAGATGCTTTTTTATTTTTATACGTTTTCATATTTACAATTCTTGTTTCTGATACAAAGAAACGTAAGTCTTGAACTTATTTGTTCAGAATGTGCTTCCAAAAAAGTATGTTTGTACTATTCCACTTTCAGCAATCTAATACTCAGATACTCCACATGCATGACAGGATAATTCTAGCCCCATCTCTCCTTATTTTTGAGAAAAAAACTTATTAAGACTATTGTATTTTACTCTAAGAAGAAAGCAATGAGGCTGTATCACATCAATGAAAGGTCTTAAGGCTTGTTCTCGTAACTTCAGAAAGGAGACTACACAGGGATATAATGCCTGAATTGAAAGCCTGTATTTTAGTAACGCTGTTTTTTTCAGTAGGATGAAGTTCAGACTCAGCACTCTAAATTCAGTAAGGTGTGGTGGGAGCGGGACGTAATATTAATATGAAGGGTGTACTTTGAGAGGTTAGTAAACCTACTAGTGAACTTGATAGATGACATTTCTGGGAGAATAATGACGAGTCATCAGGAAGAAATATAAAAGACTAGGAATTTGAGTAGACAATATGGTAGTGTGTCTGTATGGTCACTTTGCATGTAGAGGTGACCACAGAAACTGTAAAGCAGTAGAAACAGTTGTTATTTTTGGGTCTTATCTACGGAACCCTGCTGTACTTGGTTCCTGGTCTTGTAAACTCATGTGTACCAAATTAATATTAATGTAAAGTACAGGAAATGTGCAATGATATCCCACGTTTACATTCTTTCAACTTCTCTGTATAGGTGAGGCCGGTCTTCTCATTTCAAAAGTCAATGCAAAGAACCCCTTCTTTGGTTATGCTGGCAATAAGAGACACACAGAAAAAAAATTACTCTGTGAGGTATTTAAGAAGGGAGATCTTTATTTTAATACCGGAGATCTAATGGTTCAAGATCATGAGAATTTTCTTTATTTTTGGGACAGAATTGGAGATACCTTCAGGTATAATCATTGTTTCTTTTCACATTTCTTCACTTTAAAAAAAAAAAAAAGAACATACAGAATATAATAATACTGTTCTATTTGTTTTCAGCCTGAAGTGTTCAGTTTATAACTATTGTGATGTAGCTTGTAATGATCTTATAGTGGATATTAGGGGCTTAATTTTTAAAAAAGTGTTCCTGTAGAGCTGGATAGCTCATTTCCAGAATGTTTTGTAGGAATTGACTCTTTGAACAGTCCTTCAAATCAGCATAGTAACAAGTGAGGGTTTTGCTGTGAGCAAGGAAGTTGGATACTGAAGTGGAAAAAAAATATCAAATACTGAAGACTGGTCACATTTTACATGTTTAGATACACATCAAAATTTTGAAAATGATTATATCAGAATATGATCAGCTTTCATTGTGCTTTATAGTAATAGCTAATATCCAGTACCATTTGAATTTCAAGTCTTTTGGTGGTCAGATCAAAAAAAAAGCGTGATAAGTGAGAACAAATTTTTACTAAAGGTAATGATTTTTTCAAGAAGAGGTGTCCATATGTTTTTGTGAGGCTAAATTATTTTCTAATATGTTTTAGATGGAAAGGGGAGAATGTTGCAACTACAGAAGTTTCCGATATCATTGTAATGTTGGACTTCATACAAGAAGCAAATGTGTACGGTGTATCTGTGCCAGGTAAAAACTTTAGTTGTATGTATTCATTCCACTGCATTACTTGTTAACCCTCATAACTCTTTTATTTCATGTTTTAAATCTAACAAAAATCTACATAGAGATACTGAAAATGGCTGCACGAAGAGTTGTGGTCAATGGCTCAGTGTCTGGCTGGAGACCAGTAACAAGTGGTGTCCCTCAGGGATCGGTGTTGGGACCGGTCTTGTTCAACATCTTTGTCAATGACATGGACAGTGGGCCCTCAAAAGTTTGCTGATGACACCAAGCTGTGTGGTTCGGTTGATGCACTGGAGGGAAGGAATGCCATCCAGAGGGGCCTTGACACGCTTGTGAGGTGGCCTGATGCCAACATCATGAAGTTTAAGCATGCCACATGCAAGGTCCTACACATGGGTTGGAGCAATCCCAGACACAGCTACGGGCTGGGCAAAGAAGAGATTCAGAGCAGCCCAGCAGAGAAGGACTTGGGGCTGTTGGTCAATGAGAAACTTGAGCTGGCTTCAGTGTGCAGTCACAGGCCAGAAAGCCAACCATATCCTGGTCTGCATCAAAAGGAACATGACCAGCAGGTTGAAGGAGGTGATCCTGCCCCTCTAGTCTGCTCTCGTGAGACCTCACCTGGAATATTGTGTGCAGTTTTGGTGTCCTCAACACAAAAAAGACATGGAACTGTTGGAACAAGTCCAGAGGAGCGCCACGAGTATGATCAGGGGGCTGGAGCACCTGCCATATAAAGTAAGGAGGAGAAAGTGGGGGCTGTTCATCCTGGAGAAGAGAAGGCTGTGTGGAGACCTCATAGTAGCCTTCCAGTATCTGAAGGGGGGATATAGGGATGCTGGGGATGGACTCTTCATTAGGGACTGTAGTGATAGGACAAGGGGCAACAGGTTAAAACTTGAACAGGGGAAGATTAGACTAGATATAAGGAAGAAGTTCTTTACTGTGAGGATGGTGAGGCACTGGAATGGGTTGCCCAGGGAGGTTGTGAAAGCTCCATCCCTGGCAGTGTTCAAGGCCAGGCTGGACGAAGCCTTGGGTGGCATGGTTTAGTGTGAGGTGTCCCTGCCCATGGCAGGGGGGTTGGAACTAGATGATCTTAAGGTCCTTTCCAACCCTAACTATTCTATGATTATGATTCTATGAAAATACCACCAGATTGTGAATGAGCCAATGAATCATGCATTTTTATGTGCATGCAGTAAAGTGTATTTTTAAAAAGTAATCTTACTTGAATATGAGAAGATGTAGAGATGTGGTGCCTGGGGACAGGGTTTAGTGGTGGACTTGCCAATGCTGGTCAATGGTTGGACTCAATGATCTTAAACGTCTTCCCAGCCCAAAAGATTCTATAGTTACATAATGTAAATTAAAGTTTAAAGCTTTATTAAATTCACAACCATGGAAAATCCACACATCCATGTGTCAAAATGAAACGTCATCAAGGTAAGAGTTGTAGGCAAAGTAAGGGAAAGTGTATAATGACATTTTTCTGTATTATTTTACCTTCCACTTACCCTCATAAAACATCTATAAACAGATATATTACAAAACCAAGGACAAGGTAAAAAAGTAAATGAAGAAAAATAAGTTAATTTTCATGAGAGCATCTGAGCTTGATTCCATTCATGCTGAATCTTTTCTTAAAATGCGTATTGTATTCATGTAGGTTAAAGACAAGTTTCTTTACAGGAGTCTGTATAGTGCTGTGCTATACATGAGTAGTTAAACAAGTGTTGATAACTTACTAATGCTTGGCTATCACTAAAAAAACTTGCACAGTATCAAATTTTTTTCCCTGCAGCGAGTATGCTGGGGTGGGCAAGAAATCAGGGGCAGATGTACAGAGGACATTGAGCACAAACTAACCAAGGGGATATTCTATATCAGATGATGCCATATTCAGTTGTAAAAGCCCGGGGAAAGGAAGAGGATGAGATGTTTGTGTCTGCCTGACAATACAAAATAACTAAGGAAGCTCTGGTTTTGCTTTCCTTCTGCATGTAACTTTTGCTTTACCTATTAAACTGCTACTATTCTGAGACATGAGTCTTATTTTCCTTCTGTTCTCTTGCCATTGCATGAGAGAAGGAAGTAACTGAGAAGCTGGCTGGGTGCAGGCTGAACCCACCACAAAATTACAAGAGTTTAAAATGTGAAAATGGTGCCACCTCTAATTTAAAGCCACACAATAAGAAAGATCATAATAAAGAAGACTGATTGAAAATCAGACACAAAAATATGAGAGCTTCTAATTTCCTGTAGAAGTCTTACCTGCATATTCCTATCCATTCATGTGACTGTCTTGATATGCAGTTAAACATACACAAATAAAGTTCCTTACAGACTTTGTAGCATTAGCAAAAAAACGAAAACAGAACAAAAAACCCCCAAACCTATATATAGAAAAGAGACAAAAGATAACATTGGCAGAATGTCATTATTACTAGCTGATGGTCAAAGTGTGCACTTTGATTGCTGAAGTTCATTGCTTCTATGTTTTTCTGATGTTGATCTTTCCCATAAATCCACAGTGCTCTCTCCACCTAAACGAGTAAGATGCTTGTAATCTCTCTGTGTTAAGGACATTCAGACCCACAGTTTTGAGAGAAGATAATGGCAAGAGTGAAAGGCTAAAACTGAAGAGAAGACATAATTATCTGATCCAGTGTAGTGTTTTAAGCCCAGCTGGTACCTCAGAACCACGCAGCTGCTTGCGCACTCCCCCCCCGCCTCCCTTTCTTCCTTCCCCTGCTCCCAGAGGGATGAGGAGGAGAATCAAAAGAATATAACTCCCATGGGTTGAGATAAAATCAGTCCAGTAACTAAGATATAACACAAACCACTACTGCTACCACCAATAATAATAATGATAAGGGAAATAACAACTGAAAAGAATACAACTGCTCACCACCCACCAACCGATACCCAGCCCCACTCGAGCAGTGATCCAGCCCTTCCAGGTAACTGCCAACCAGTTCTACATCCTGGGCATGACGTGCTGTGGTATGGAATACCTCTTTGGTTAGTTTGGGTCAGGTGTCCTGTCTCTGCTTTCTCCTGGCTTCCTCCTGGCTTCTCCTCCTCCTTGGCAGAGCATGAGACTCACAAAGTCCTTGGTCAGAGTAAACATGACTTAGCAACAACTAAACACATCGGTGTTATCAGTGCTGTTCCCAGGCTGAAAGTCAAAACCACAGCACTGCATCAGCTACTAAGAAGGAGAAAAATTACCGCTACTGCTGCACCCAGGACATCCAGGAAAGAGGCTCAGCCCTCTTGTTTCTGAGAGAAGAATGGTGTTGATGTTTTCCACCTTTATTAATATTGAGCATGGGACTCCTAAATAGTTTACGGCATTACTGCTTAATCGGTCACTTGAGTGATCTCCAAATATATGTAATACCATATAATATATTAATATAATCTTCTACCTTTACTAAAACACAGAAGATGATATATGACTGTCATTTTATTGATGGATTACAGTTCTTTTTTGTAAGGTTCATCACCAAAATGTCAACTTCATCCATGTTTTAAAATTTTTATCTCACTTTTTCCCCCCAGATCATGAAGGAAAAGCAGGAATGGCCTCTCTTATTCTCAAGCAGAATACATTGTTGGATTTGGAGCAAATATATAAACAAGTAGTGACCTATCTACCAAGTTATGCTTGTCCTCTTTTTTTGAGAGTTCAGGTAAACTGCATTATTGCACAGAACGCGGAACTCCTACGTCATCTGAACACAGAGATGTCTAAGTGAATAACTGAAAGTGCTTGTTCATATATCACTTGATTAGTTTTAGATCTGGTCCTATTTGCTGTCTTCATTATGGAGTCCTGGGAAAGGAATTACATAAAAAATCAATAAAATTTGCAGATTATGTTAAAATGGGAGGAATTGAGTACAAATGAGTAAACACAGAGACTGTACAAAAGGATTTAGGGAGATTAGAAGCATGACCATGAAAACAAAAAGATACAGATTAGTAAATCATGGACAATTGCGTCTGGAAAAAAAATCTAAAATCCATTTTATTAACTGGAAAAGAGAGAAGAGAGATGTAGAGGTAAAGCAGGAGATACTGATTGTGCACAATAAAACGGTATTTCATTGACATTAGTGACACTAATGACAAAAGCTAAAGCATTAGAAAAGGTACTAGGTAAATTGAAAAGGTGAATTAAAAATGTACTTTGTTATTGTCACCACCATAATAATCAGTCATGCATCTTCATTTCTGGTGTTCTAAAAGCACAAAGGCAAAAAGAAAAATGGTTTTGAAGGTGCTTATGAAGTAAGTCTTCCGAGTCTGAAGAAGAAAAAAAAAAATAAATCACTGTTTGAAAGGAGAAATGATGGAAGTTGGATCAATGGGCCAATCAGAGGTTGACTAAAATGATGGTAACTTAGTCCAGACTTACTGCTATACAGATGTACAAAAAAGTCTTCACGCTGGGCAAAAGGAATCTGACTCTTTGATGTAGCCTGGATATCAACTATCTAGAACTTCTATTAGATTTAAATGCCTACATTACAGATGAATTGCTGTTGGTACTGCTGTCATTAACCAAGAAATAAGGTAGTGTTCTAAAAGCACAAAGGCAAAAAGAAAAATGGTTTTGAAGGTGCTTATGAAGTAAGTCTTCCGAGTCTGAAGAAGAAAAAAAAAATAAATCACTGTTTGAAAGGAGAAATGATGGAAGTTGGATCAATGGGCCAATCAGAGTTTGACTAAAATGATGGTAACTTAGTCCAGACTTACTGCTATACAGATGTACAAAAAAGTCTTCACGCTGGGCAAAAGGAATCTGACTCTTTGATGTAGCCTGGATATCAACTATCTAGAACTTCTATTAGATTTAAATGCCTACATTACAGATGAATTGCTGTTGGTACTGCTGTCATTAACCAAGAAATAAGGTAGTGGTGGAGGCTCAGGGCAAAAAGATAAAAACCTGTTGTTCTTGTCTGACATTTAATCATACTTTTAGAAGTTGTCAGATCTTAGACCAACAAAAGGAGGTAGATGCAATTGCTTTCAATTTCTAGTTTTCAGAGATTGTTTGCACATATATTTAAATATGTAAAAAAAGACTAGAAGACAATGGCGAGAGGTCAGAAAGTGTGGCTGAGAAGCAGTACTGAAGATAAAAGAGTTTCCCTAGAGATGCCTCCCACTACTTTTTCCAAGGGACACAGTGACACTGAAAAGAAGCTTGAAGCATTACAAGATGTATGGTAAAGATCTACCTCTGTTGGGACCTGGCTGAGTATAAGTATGGTTGATTACATATGTGATTTTTTAAACCCTTTATTTAAGTTGACAATAATTAGAATTTCCTGAGTTCCACCAGGAAGTTCTTAATAATGACAGTTTTTACCCTCAGATTCTTTACAATGTATAGTTTTATAAGCACACACAAATGAGGAAGCTAGATTGTCCTGGGCAGGCTGCAGCTATACAGGATGAGACACTGTGATGAGACGCTGCACAGCAATGCAAAAAGCAAAGGGTTGTAACTTTTTTCCACCACATCTTCAGGTTGGTCCATAGCAGCACAGAAGTTCTAGTTTTCCAGGATAATGGAAAAGTAATAACACTATTAACCTTACATCAAGAAAGATTTTCAAAGTCAAATGTGAATGTGAGCCAAAAAAAAAATAAGTTCTACTGAATAATAAATCTTTCTCTCTTCTATAGGATAAAATGGAAATGACTGGAACATTCAAACAACAAAAATTTCGACTGGTGGATGAAGGTTTTAATCCATCTACAATTACTGATCCTCTTTACTTTTTAGATAATTCTAAAAAGGCGTATGTCTTGTTAACCAAAGAAGTACATGAAATGATCTTATCTGGGAAAATTAAACTTTAACCTAATAATAGGTTATTGAGGGACAGTCTATATGAGCTACTGCGTGAGAAAACTATAACATTAATTACCAATACTTATATATAGTTATCCAGAATAATGTTTTATGTACTTGATACTTACATTCAGGTATGTTTTGTATCTTTCCTCTCTTCATTATTATTGATTATTAATCATTTTTTTACCTATTGAGACCAATTTCTAATTACATGATCTGTAGAACATGACTGAAATCTGTTTTATCTCAATCTTGGAATATAAATCCTGAGTCTGATGTTTTTTCTTAGTACAGAATTAATGTGAATGATATGTGGGATGAAGCACAGTAAAAAAAAAAAAAAAGATTCAACATAAAGGTATTGTGACACAAGTTGTTTTGAGAGAGAAAATTTGCCACTGTTTTCATGTAGTTTAGATTTGTATTTACTTCTGAATATATATTTTAAGAAACAAAGACTTGGCAGTGGTTGAATGAAAACACAACTTTTCCATAGTTTCTTCTGATAGAACATAAGATTAAAGACAGTCACACAGAATAAAGCCCTCAAACCCAAAACTAAGAGATTTGTACTGACATCACTGCTGAGAGTTGTCATAATCCATGCTCTTTCATTTGTTAAACTGGCTGTTCAGAGTGTCAAAAGTGCAAACTTTTGTTAAATGTTTAGTGGAGGATCAATAATAGCCAGAGAAAATGTGCACACTTAATGGGGAAAATCACTTATACAGCATAAAAAGAATTATTACAGCACTTTATGTATGTCATGCATATTGACTAACGAGTAGCTTCCTTACTCTTATTAATGACTGCCAGATATTATTATTTTATGAGTACAAAATATAGCAGAAATTTTAAAATTCTAAATCATATGTTCTAATAATTGCTTTTTAAAAGTTTTAAAATAAAGTATAAGATTATTTAAACCAAATTCTTTACCTCAGTTTTATTTAGGTCTGATTGAGTAAAGTCTACACTACTTGCACAGTGTCCTCCTCTAATGGTTTGTGATACCAGCATTGACTATCCAGAGGCAGTGTCATGGAAAGGGTTACTTCAATAAGTCTCTCTTCTGTTACACTGTGGTGAGAAACAAGGCTCACATAAAAAAGTTGGATGTACCATACTTAAAAAAATTACTATCTTTTCTTGTTTTTTTCTACTTTGTTCATCTAACAAGACATTAGAACTTCTGTTAATTTTTGATTCTCTGATCATCACTTCATTGATTTTCCTTAAAAACCCAAGTCAAGGATCTGGGAAAAAACACACAAAGATTCATAGCTTGTTTGCATTTCTGAATACCATATTCGTTATGGGACTTCCACTATAAACGAGCAGCTGTGCTTACACCAACGTCATGCTTGGTGGTAGGTGTTTCTGTAATTGTTAAGTACATGATGGGGAAAGTAGAGGACTGATGGGTATGTATGGAAGGGTTCACAATGGTCTAATACTTCCTGAGCTGTCCCA